AAATTCGAATCACCTGGAAGGTTGTTTCAGCCAGTATTTAATGAGCTTCACCTCCACAAGGTATGAAGTTTGAAACAGCTTTATTCTTTTAAATAACTCGTTAATGCAATTCCCATTTTATCCTGAAAGGTGATTCCATGTCAATGCTGCATTTAATGTCAATCTTTATTAAAATATAGAAAAAATTAAAATTAAAAATATAATTCGATAATAAGCACAAATAATAATATGGTTACAGCTATTTAATTTATCCATTTGATTTAATTTACATGCTCAGTCAACCCACATGAAAACAAATTGACAATTTGCAGTTACGCTGTGAAGCAGTATTGAAGCAATTCCACTTCATCCAGATTTCAGTTGGGGACCCTGTCTGGCTCATTTGGTTCATAGAAGGTAAAAAAATAAATAATTTAATAACTAACTTCCCTTTAACTCAAGTTAGAAGTAAACCATCAACTTGCTTAAATTTAATCTCAAGCTCTCCTCTCTTGGGAAATATTGCGTCAAGGCAACAGCATCTCAGCTAGCACTTGAGAGGGAGAGAGAGAGAGAGAGATTAGGTCAGGCAACTCTCTCCTAGTGCAATTAAAAACTCACATGTTGATGTGTTTAATTGAAACTTTGGGTCATATCTATCCATTCACCCGCCCACCTACATTTATTGGCCCTCTGGGAGGGAAAGACTTCACCCAAGAAAGTAATAAATTCGTGGGTGTGTGTGTGTGTGTGAGCGTGATTTTAGGTTAACTTTGTTGCACCATTTGGGGGTTTCACAGTCAATATCCGAAAATTCAGACCACATTAGAGTTTCCACGCTATTCATTGTCTGTTTCTTGCTATCTATACAGGTGGTTTGGGGGGGGGGATACGTGTGGCGTTATAATCTTAACGCAATGGGATGTGTTTGGGTCAGTTTATAGAGGCAGGGAGGGACATATTTTGCGTCGTGATTGCAAAGCATATCTGGTAGTCTACAAATAGGGTGATTTACAAAGGAAATGAATTGTCTAGTCATCTTTCATGGGAATGCAATCATAGTTGGTTAGTCAGTTCGTCTTTGCATACAGGTGTGCAATTGGAAATGCTATCAAACTTTTAGATGAAGTATAACAGTATGGCTGGCTTAATTTTTCTTGTGAAATTTGAGGAAACGCTGTGTGTTTGTGCACGTTGATCCTAGATTTATGATGTGAATAGAATTTAAATAGAAGGTGAGAAGTTGTGGAGAGACCAAGGTAGAGCGATGCTAATCGATTTAGTCGTAGTCTCTCTATGCTCCTCTACTAGGCCGTGACAATAAAATAAACAGAGAGAAAACAGTGATTGTGTAAATGGTATGCTAAATATGTTAATGGGTTCGGTACGATAGCAAAAACTCCACGTAAGAGTTCGCAAAAGATAAGAAGAGAGAGGTTTAAACTGAATCTCCTATATTTCTTAGAGGACGAACAAATGAATGAAATTATCTTGTCTGATTTGAAATTTTATCACCTTGGCAGGCAGGATGGGTGGGGAGGGGGATGGGGATGGGGAAGGGGTTGGTGGGGGGGGGGGGAATGGGTCATAATGAGTGATGGATAAATCAGATACATGCCACTCCAAGTTGGTTTGACCTCATAAAAATAACCTCACTTGGATGATTCATTAACTTTTGGCCTGCTGTGACTCTCTAACGGTTTATCACTTTTAGTGGCCAACCGAGATAACTATTTTTGTGAACATTCGCAACTGCAATAATCATCCCACAAGCAATCGGGTGAGTTTTCGTGCAAACCACTAGAAATAGTTCATATAATTTGAAAATTCCTCTACTGGAAATACAGTTAACTGAGCTTGGATTTAAAACTCAGAGCCCCTAGAAGGTTATCACCACGTAGTTTGCTCCTTAAGAAATAGTTCCTATATTGGGGTCTTTCGTATCCAAAACAAAAGATTTCGAATTTAATTACAATAATTTAAACAGAGTTAAACAACTCTTTGTACTTTCACATTTGGTACTAAGGGTTATCATGTCGTTTGAATGAAAGGACGATATTTTTAAATAAACCTCGAGTGTTAGTTACTGGTGAAAAACGAGAAGGTAACAATGAAGGATCCAATTGCTGGAACCGATTCAACTGCGTAGAACTCTCTCAGAGCCTGTAAATGCAGTGGGCATCACTGTCTATCAGGAACTTAATTTTGAATGTTTACACCAACTGGACTTCGATTTGTTTTAAACGGATGGACTCCTTTCAAGTGGATTCAAATATTAATTGTTAGGCTAATTGTAATTAATTTAGTCTAAAGCAAATAAATTTTGATACTTTCAGCAGCTTTGAGTAAGAATATTGTAAAGAGTTTTCAACAAAACCTGTTCTTGCAAAAAATGTTTTCATTTATCAACAGGACTGGTGTTAAAAGCAATCACCTCAAGTGAGTCTAATTTTGTTGAGCACACTTTAGTCCTTAACTGAAACTTAAACGCACAATGATAATGTTGATGATGATGAATTGTTTCAGATATTTATAAAGTTTATTTATATCAAATATCAGGCTTTATGATAATTATCCTTAATCCTTCAGTTGACTTTGGGCTTCACAGAGAGAGGAACATCACAGTGAAAATAGTCGAAAGGGGGAACAGAAGAGTGTTTCAAAGGTGCAAATGAGACAGACAGGCACAGAGGCAAAGAAAAAGGTAGGGTGAGGACTGAGGAAAAGGTGGAATATGACATGCAGTCGGATCATGGTAGTTTGAAGTCAGAAGTCAACCTTCAATTTATCGACTTTATTGCCTTATGAGTATACGTTTCCCAGGGTGCACCACGTGAAGATAAGTCCTTTGCACACCGCGATATTTGCAAAGTAATAATATTAAGAATGACAAAATCTTGAAAGTCAATCCACTTACTATTTCTTAAAACAAAATATGCCAAATTTTTTGCAAAAATTAAATCCTTTTCTCCTCATTTTATTCAATGTCACCAAAGCTAGCATCGATCTGGAAAGTGAATGAGACATCCAATATTATCTCGATTGCACAATCTAAGAGCATATCCTCTTATGCTCTCTCAGTACTTGTGAACTAAGTTTTGTGGAAATGAAATGTGCTTGTGAAATTTCAAACGAGCGTAAAATCATTTACACCTATTGCCAAGTTGTGGATCTAATGTTTCAGAAATGACTTCCAGAGCATAAGTTTACAAGACATAATTGGAGCCAATTTAAAAGAAAAACAAACGTGAACAAAACTTTTGTCTTTATGCTCAAATCAAATGTAAAAATTTGTGCACAACAATGTTACGTCCACATCAGTTAAATATGAGTAAATATTTAATGTGAATGTGAATAGCAACTTACCTGGAAATCCACTTCATTAAATGCGAGAAAAGTACGGATTGTGTTCTCCGATATTTGCTTTCCTCGCTTTCTGAGAAGACGTAAAAAATCTATATCTGATATCTGAAACAAAACGATCATTTAACACCTTTTGAAACTGATTTCAACTTTGGCTGCGCAAAAATGAAAAATACGTCGGTGCAAACTTACTGTGCATGGCACAAGTCCTGTCTAAAAATAGCCCTCAGTGTTCCAAGCAAGTATTTCTCTTTGTTGTTTATTTTTAGCTCTTAATTTACGGTAAACTTGTGAGTTTGAAAGATTTAAAGGCGTAAACGCCTAATCGCATCTGTTATAATAACCTTCATATTAGCTCTTTTCATAGTGCTTAAAACGTTTTCTCTTTTATTGCACACTTAAAATATTTTCAATAATCTGCTAATTTTACCTTTGATCTAATATTTAACTTTATATTCATTATAAATAAACTCTTTGATTTTTTTGATTTTTCCCTTTTAAATTAGTCAATGCATTCAGCAATATGACGAAATTGCAAAGTCTTTGATGTTGATCTAGAAAATAAATATCTTTAAAATTGTTTCCAGTGGCGCCACAATCTCGGTGGTATTAAATCAGGAGTGGATGTAAATTCGAAATGACCATCTGGAAGCGCATGACTTAAGGTGGCTTCCAGGCAAAAAGGCGAAAGTTCTGACTTTCAAAAGACCACATGTGGTCTGATTTTCGAGAATTTCACTCAGAAAATAATTGGGTGCTTGAAATACTTCCTAAATCAACGTGTCTATTTATTTTTGAACGAATCTACCTGTAAAGTATTAAGAAAACGTGTTCTTTAAATTTATTCATCATTTAATTAATCTGTGAAAAGATTCTTAAAATCAACTTTAAAGTTAGGAATGACAGTCTTTTCTTCCGCTGGTATATTATTAAATTTGATGAACTCGTCCAACATTGAGAATAAAATAAAGATGTCTAAGCTTTTGCAAGACGAATAACCATTGAATCTTCCATAATAATAATAGCGGCTACTTATCTCCACGTCTCTCTCATAAAGACTTGATGAAGAAAGAATTGACCAATCACAAAGATCATTTAGAAAAGAGATAGAAATAATATATTACTCTAGGTCTTAAAAATTGGGCTTGACACTTTATATATATATTTACATCTTAAACAAAAAATACCAATATCTCAAGATCAGATTTTCAGAAAATTAGGATATTTCATATTGAATTAAAGCAAAAATTAGGTATAAGATTAATTAACGCCGATAAAGTGCAACAACTTAGCAATACTTTCTACTCAATAATGTTAAAATCAGTGAATTTACTATAAGTGAAATACCACTTTTCAGGTCACAAATAAGGTGGTTTGAATTTGCAAAAAAGAGCAATAAGAAAGTGAGTAACAGTTTTTAAAAAGAATGATTGTGTTTAACTATATTGGGAAAAGGAATAGACTGGATACGGGTGGAAATTATTGCAGCCAATCACGTTTTCGCGACCATACTCACGCGTGTCTGCACAGAGCAAGGTGATTGGCTGACAGCACTTGTTAACCTCAATGACCATAGACGCAAGATATATGATTGGTTTAGCGCGTAATATATTGAAATGAAGGGTACAAGTGTATAGTATATTTATTAAAGCCTCCAAATGGAAATTCTTGGCTCACATAACTACTTTATGCTTTCTGCAAGTGATCCAAATCTTGACTATATGAGAAGCGAGTTTAAATCGCTTGAAGAGCCATCCTTAATGCAAGTCGGCAATACACTTGCAACTGGTGATAATTCAGTTCACCGATCAGCATTTAAAGTTCCATCAAAACTCACTCAACCCAATCAGATGTGTAGTGAAGTGGATCAAAAAATCGTTCCTGGCGTTTGTCCCTATGCAACAGAAGACTGGAATTTGAAAAATGGACTACTTTCCTTCAATCCTTTCGATGACTTGCAAGAATTGCCCATCGATCTCTCTTTATCTAAACTAAAGAAAGATGAAGTCCCAAACAAGTAAGCAAATCGAGACATCTTTAACATAACTAAGGTTTATTTTCTTCGGTAATGCAATTGAATGTGTATTAATTAATTAACCTCTATATCTTCTCGGATATGTTCTTTAATTAACATCATTTATTTATTTATATCAAATGGCAGGCGTTTTGATGGTTATCATTAGCCTCTTAGTTGACTTCAGGCTTCGCAGAGGGGAAGGAACATCAAAGTGAATACAAAGTCGAGAAGGGGGGGGGAGGGAACAGAAGAGTGTTTTGAAGACGAAGGTAGAAAAGGTAGAATAAAGGTGGGGTGAGTACTGTGAAAGTAGTCGACTATGACAAACAGTGGGGTGATGGTAGTTTGAAGTCAAAAGTCAACTTCCGGTTAATAGATTGTTTTTGCCGTATGAATATACATTGCCCAGGGTGCACCACGTGGAGGTAAATCTATCGCTCACCCCTTAATTAACATCATTAAGAAGAATATTGTCTAAACGCAAAACTTTTGAATAAAGCATGCTAATTTCCGTACCCTACTGAAAGGTTTTAAGTAAGAAAATCGGAATTACAACCTCAACTTCTGCTTACTGAGTTGTGAGTTGGATTTCACGATACGTAGACATCCCGACCATCCCTATTCATTCAAATACTTTTCTTAGAACTGATTCCTGCAAGTAATTTCAAGGTAGTAAATTTATATGGAAAACTAGTCTTGAAGTAAATCAAATAAATTTTAAACTTCATAAATGGCAATTAAATAAAAACCTACGTGGGAAAATATCGAGAAGGTTGGAAAAAAGTATTTTGAAAAGTATAAAATTTCCTAAAGTAAAATATTTTAAAAAATCGCTTAAAACCTACTTTCAACCCCTTAGTCAGTGTAATTCTGAAGGGGCTGGCACCTTTCCAGAAGACCTGACTTTCCAGACCCCAGCATCGTCCCTATCAACTGCTTCCGCTTCTTCAATGCATTCACCGGCAAAAGGGCCTTCAACAGCTAAAATCTCAAGAAGGCAGGGGAGAAAGCTACTTCGGTGCCCAGTTCCTGGTTGCGATGGTAGAAGCCATTCATCGGGTAATTACGCCTCTCATCGTAGCGTTAGTGGTTGTCCTAAAGCAGATAAAGCAATGGTTCAAGCCTTCCACGTTGAACAAAAGTAAGTATAACTTGGTTAGTTTACTTTCGTTGTCCCTTGTTAAACCAGCTGAAGTATTCTAGAAATATCTTAATTTCCTTAAAGTTGCATTCAACTTTACCGTAATTAGGTGTCCCACACCAGGTTGTGATGGTTCTGGCCACAGAACTCATAACTACACCAGCCATAGAACTCTGAGTGGTTGTCCGCTACGGGGCCACTCACAGGGACCCAAGCGCCAGCAGCAAATTCTGGCGATCCGAAGTCAACAACAGGCTCAGGCACAAGCTCAACTCAACTCTCTCAGTCTCTCACGACTTCAAGCCTTCTCCGCGCTCCATAAAATGGCGAGAATGGAGTCGCCCATTGTTGGAGTATGGGAGACGTCGTGTAAGTTATTCCATGAAAATAATTTTTTTAATTATGTGCTAAGTAGGAGCAGTGAGTGCGGGTATCTGTTAGGGAAATTGAAAGCTGACTCTTGGTAGTAAAGTATGTGAGGTAGAAAGTTAGAGGTAGACGTTGAAAAAGAGAACCGATTTTCGTATTTTCTGTGCTGACCGCCTACGTAATGACAATGTAAAGGGTGACTTGCGCAGTACAAAATAAGTGAAATTACCGACGATTGAGTGGGAGAGAAAGCGGGGCACTTGACTGCTCTGATAAACTTCATGGAATGATTGAGAGCTAATTTCTCAACATCTTGAATGCTTGGTTGACTTTAAATGAACTTACCCTATTCATGCATTTTGTAATAATGTGCTATTTCGTGAAAAGTTAAAATCTAGTGCTTGAATCTACCTTTGAGACTGTGATCAGTATTGCCAAATAGAGGACTTCAAATGAATCTTATTTACGTATTCTTTAAAAATTTCTATCATTGAAGTGCCATTATATTTGATAGAATTCAGATTGTATTCTTTTACTAATGTTGGCCTAATTGGATAGATTGCGACAGGTGAACACAGATGGAGTTACCCAATCAAAATCTTTCATTTTTTTCAGTAAAAGAGACTTGGTAGGCGGCACACACTAAACTAAAGTGCTAATAAGCCACAATTGTTATCAATATCCAAGACAATGCCACAATCTTGAAAATATTTTAATTTCAAGAATGCATATGAATACACAAAAAGCAAATAACTTCAATTGAAAGGGGGTGGGGGGTAGAGGGAGCGTGAAGGGCAATGTATGTAGTTGGGATGCATGATTAGGCTAAGCTAATGAAAGATCTTGTTGGATTAGCCGTATTTTGAAATGGTTCCTTGTGTTTCGAAATCCGATTTTAGTGATTCGATCACTGAGACGCTCTGTGATTTCATGATGTGGCATTTGGAGGTGGTAGACCACATGATTTACTTGCATGATTTCCAGGCTCTGAAATTAATTGTGGCCCTTTAAACACGTGAATGGGTAGGAGTTCATCTTGCTGTGAGATTAGGTCGAATTTCAACTAGTACTTTCTAGAGTTCATTTATATATACATTTTAATAAGATTAATATTCATTTTTACTGCCTCTTCTTTATACGTGATCGGTGTCAAAGAGAGTTTTCTTCCAATTTCGGTGTTAAAAATGGTTGTCTCTCTTACTTACATTACTCAATCCCTACAATCTCTGATTTCAGATCGACCTTCACTGTTGTGCTACCGCTAAACCGTTTGCTTTAACTATGGCGGTTAATAAACATAGTGAAAATGTGGTGTGTCATTACTGTTGAGCATATGCAACATGCTATTCCAAATATCGCCTTTTGGGATATTCAGTAATTAGGGTTATTAAATAATTTGTAGCAACGCTATTATACTAAGACCTAATAGCGTGCAACACCCCCCCCTCCCTATTAAAGTCATTTCAATCTAAACACCCTATGAAGGAAGGAGCGTTTTTTGAGTAGTCGTATCCAGTTGGGTGAAAATAGACAAATTTCAATGCATATCAAAGAAATCTCTGCTTCTGGTATTAGAGAATAGGTAAAACATACGCAAAACAAATCTTCGTAACTTGTGTGTTTTTTATCTGCTATTTGTAAAATCTTATTATTATTATTACTATCATTATTACAGTCCATGCCATTACAAAAGAACATTAATATTCTAGTAACTAATGAAAAAGGGTGCATCATTGGGAGTATGTAATGAAGTAGAGAGGCTTGCATCCATGATATTAAGGAGGCATTGAGTTGAGTTCCATCGCTTATTGCTACATGAAGTTGCTAAAAAGTTTAATTCCCCCTATTTGACCTCCAAGTTTTAAGGTGAGAACATGCCCACAATATTCAGGGGCTGGCAACTCCGTTGACCGAATTGAATGTCCGGTCAGGTCAGGTCACTTTAATTCGTGGTTATATTTGCCTTCACCCACGAGGAGGCAGATGTGCATTAAAATTAGCAGAGGATGGAAAATAATCGATTTATCGACTTAAATCTGATAATGGAAGCGTCGATTTTGAAATTAAACAGGCTTAGTACACCTTTATTTGTTTATCTAGCAAGGTATTCTTATTAAATTTGTTTAACAGGAAATTGCTTCTACCAAACCTTCTAAACATTTTTTTTAATTACACGTTGACAAGATAAATGCTCGTTATTGTGCACACAAAAATACTTCCTTTCTTATCGATTAAGTTTTGCACTCATTTACGTAGGCTGGTATGTTTTGTTATAGACTCACAACCAAAACTTCCTTTCACAAGTGCCACAACTTGCGTTTATAACTTTATTAACTATGTAAGTCAAAGAGATTATGTCAATTTGAATTTCTGTTTTCATATAAATTTTATCTATCTAAATATTCAAGTAAATAAACCACAAGGAATTTGTTCAAAGTCTACAAGCCTTGAGTCGAAATTCAATTCCCTATTACAACATTGCCTTAATTCATGTGACAGCGATTGAATGCTAACAAGTGGATGCGTAGCAACTTTAAAAGGATTTATTTATATCAAATGGCAAGCATTTTGAGAGTTATCATTAACCCTTTAGTTGACTTCAGGCCTCACAGAGGGGAAGGAACATCAAAGTGAAAAATTTCTTGGGGGGGGGGGGAGACAGAAGAGTGATTCAAAGATATAAAAGAGACAGACACAAAGGTAGAAAAAAGGTGAGGTGAGTACTGTGAAAGTAGTCAAATATGACATACAGTGGGGTGATGGTGGTTTGGAGTCAGAAGTCAACTGCCGTATGAGTATACGTTTCCCAGGGTGCACCACGCGGAGGTAAGTCTATCACACTCCCCAATTTAAAAGGAAGATCTCTCCTGTTTTA